CCACCCCATGAGTGGGACACTGGTTGTAGAAAAAGTGGACATTAACAAGATGTTTTTTTTTTATTTATTTCATTGTCATTTATCTTAAAAATGGCACAACACCACATAGGTATTTCCTCCGATAGAGTTAGAAATGTTGTTTGGTTAAATCGTTTATCAAATAAACATTTGTCTCAATTTGTGTGAGAGCCATCTGTTGGGGAAGTCTTGTTTTTAATGTTCCCTCCCCCCCTCCCCCAACACGAAGGCATTTAGGCATTTTTCACTATTCAGCTTATGTGGCACTTAATAGTGTCTAATGGGTGCCTACCTATAAAAAAAAAAAACATTTTTCAACTTTTTTTTTGGTTTTTCAAAATAAATGTCATACAAAATATTTAAATAAATGCCAATGCAACTAAACATCCCCAAAATGATCTTATTAAATGCATGATAGAAGAATAGTCAAATATAGAACATGAATTGTATTATTACACATGGTATAAAGGTAAACTAGTGAATGACCCCGTAGTACGGGGAAGTTAATTATATATATATATATATATATATATATATATATATATGAATAAACATTAATGATTTTTATCACCATTTTTTATTATTATTTATAAACTGCCATTTTTTAAGACATTCTTACAGTTTACGGGTCCATATAAATTGACCCTTATATGGCAAACCTGTAAAATTATACGGGTCATTAAATTCAACTTGAATTGTTTATTACTTTAATTTAGCCAGTATTATTATTATTATTATTATTATTATTATTATTATTATTATTATTTTATTTTAGTATTTAATTTAACATTTTTGTTATATAGTAATAATAATAACTGAATTTGTAATTATTTAAATATTTACTTAAAAAACTTGAACATGAAAAACTAATTATTCAAAAATAAGGTCATTTAATCAAAGAGCAACTAAAATTATTCGGTAAATAATAATTTTATGAAATTAAAATTTAATAATTAATTATCTGTTCGAATTAAAATGGGTAATTTCAACAAATAATTTTAAGTAATTAAAATTTGTGACTAACATTTTTTTAATAATAATCAGTATTATTAATAGATTAATAATATATTAATAATTATGAAATCAGTAATAATAATAAGTATATTGTTATTATTTATTAACTAATAGTATATTCTTATTATGTGTGTATTCGTTTTGAAATCAGTAATATTAAGGTATTATTATTACTACTACTATTATTATTATTTTATTTTTACTTTTATTAAGTAATTAATTTGTCATAATTACGATTTTTAGTTAATTCATAAAATAATATTTGCTTTATAATTCTTTAAGTTTAACAATATTGAATAATTGAAAGTTTTATAATTTAACTTTTACTAAATGAAATATTTATTGGAGAATAATAATAGTATTAATTATAATTACTTGTAATAATAATAATGTAAATAAGTAACACTAATTATATATTTATAAAATATTTAATATGAACTAATATTAATATAAAATGATTATATCCCAATTAATAATTAACATTATTAAAGTGCTTATTAACTAACATTTTGAAGTAATAATTATAATCATTAGTATCAGTAATAATTAATTATAATTGATAATAATAATATAATTATATTAATTAATATAATATGATTAATTATAATTAATTATAATAATATGATTATATATTACATATAAATGTATGAATTATAATTTCTGATAATAATTAAAATTAAATATTTTATTTTCAAAATAATTAACGTGAGTTAATATAAATATAAAATGATTATTTTTGAATTATTAATTACCATTATGAAAATATTTATTAATTATCATTTTGAATTAATAATGAGCAATATTGTCAGTAATAAATTATCAGTAATTCAGTATTAATAGTAATTATTATAAGAAATTATTTTTTGAATTAATAATTAGCAATATTATCACTAATTAATTATTATCAGCAATTAAGTAATAGCAGTAATTATTCTAAGAAATTATTATTAGTGAGTAATTATTATTAGTAATTAATAGCTGGAATTAATTAAGTAGAAGAAGCAGTTAGCAGCAATTAATTAGTAATTAACAATAGTTATTATTAGTAATTAATAGATGTAATTAATTAATTAATTAAAAGTAGTTATCAGTAATTATTATTAGTAATCAATTGCTGGAATTAATTAATTAGTTTAGTAGTTAACAGTAATTAATAGCATAGTTTCCTTTTTTTTAGGAAAGGATTGAAAGTCGGAGCTTCCCACTTCTTGCATGGTGGTGAATTCCACTCTGCATGTTAGTGGGCTCTTTTCTTGAACTACCACTAATCAGAATTTGACACATGTCTAGTGGGCTTTGTTCTTGAACTACCCCTAATCAGAATTTGACGTGTCCATTTTGTTTATATCTTTGGAATGATAGGTGTCTAAATGTAGATGGGCCACATGTTTGACTGTAGGGGCTTTAGCCTGAAATCATTCATTCCTTTAATATATATTTATATATATAATATATATTAGATTTGTCTATTTCTATATATGTTGATGTTAAAAGGGCTCATTTGCAAGGGCTGAGATGAAAATTCAACTAAGCTGGTTTAGCTGTTTTATCAAGCACTTGGGAAGTTGGAATATTCATAGAGGCTGAAGTGGCCGAGATCGGCTTCATTGCTTGGAAGAATGTGCTCATGCCATTCACACAACCTTTACCCTGTGCATTAGGAATATCTCTATACTTGTATGTTGTTTTTCGTGGCAAGATATTCCCAATGCAAGGCTACAAGGGACTGCACGAATGGTGAGAGCACGGACTTGTAAGAATGTCATCTAATTCTCTTTATCAACCATCCAAATATTGACAATAAAATGAACAGTCCCAAATTCTAGATTCTTCTAAACAGTCACCAACATTTTTGAATAGAATAGGCTAGGATTTGGGACTGTTCACTTTTTTGTCAGTGTTTGAATGATTGATAAAGAGAATTAGATGATATCTGAAGGGCATTTTTGACTTTTTAAATATCACTTAACGGCTGATTAACAGACTGGTTAATGGCAGGTACTGGATTGTTCCATTTTAAAGTTCGGAGATCAATTTATCACTCGAGCCAAAGTATTACGGGGGTGCTGATCGGAAAATTTTCCTTTTTATTATTCAGCTTTTATATATATAGACTAACGTAGGAGTGACTTGTTGGTATGTTAATTGATTGTAGGGGTGGCAATTTTTCACCCAACCCATTGAACCCACCCAACCCACTTAGTATCTAATCCGCCCATTTACTTGGCGGGTTGTGTGATCAACCCATCACCCAACTTGCCCATTTAAATGGGTTGGGTTGGGTTGTGGATTACCATTGGGTTAACATCATAGACATAAGTATTAATTCCTTAGCATTTTTTTTTAATTTTCTTTATTTGAATTAAATAATTTATAATTAATGCATTAATTTTCTATTAATTATTGACTAAAATTAATTTTGTCTTGAATTAACACACTTCACCCAACATAAATCCAAATCAATTTGACCTGAGCTTGGATCAGTTCAACGCAGTATGATCCAAATCTGAAATAGACCCTAGACGGGATGGTTCAGTATCGCTTCCTTTGCCCGTTTTGGGTTGTCCGGTCCAACCATTATTCACACAGCCCAAATCGACCCAGTACAAGCTGATCCGGGTCGACCCGAATCCAAAACAAATCAGGTCGGGTGCAGTTCGAACCCTAAACCCACCACGCTTGCTTTGCCCGGTTTGGATCATCTGGGTTGGCTCGTATTCATACAACCTGACCCGAATCCAGTTCGATCCGATCTACTTCTCTTGACCCGCTTCGGGCCAATTGGTTCGGTCCAAACCCATGCACAAACCTGACATGAGCCGACCAAAGTCAATCCACCAATAACTGAACCGGTCCGATTAGAGTCCGGTCCAACTGAAACAAACCAATCTAGTCAGGATCTAGTCCAATCGGATTGATCCGGTTCTAAACGGTTCAACCACTCTTGATGTGATTAGCTCGAAGACAATCCAATTAGATAGTTTAAGTTGGTTTGACCGGTTTGAACCTAAGTGGTTCGTCGAATCCGAAACCCGAACATAGTTAAATGACTTTGCTACTTGTGTAAAAATAGCATGCATGTAATGTGATTTGAACCTTCACCACTTGTGCAAAGTACAATTACTATTGTAATCAAGCTATGACCAACTTATTTGTTAAGAGAGAGTTAATTTTTTATTTTAAGTACATAAATATAAAATTAATGGATTTGGGCGAGTTGAATTGGATTAAAACAGATTTGGGTTTAACCCAATTCATTTAATTTTAAATGGATTGGATTGAAGCTCAACCCAAATTAAACCCAATCCAACCCAACCCGCCCAATTGCCACCACTAATTGATTGGCTTCAATATTGACGCAAAATCAATTCTTTTAAGATCAATATGAGAAAAGGGATGAGGGTTACTCCTTTTATCGGTGTGGTGCGTGGCACCAAATACCAAAAAACAAAAGCTTAACGTGTGTGAAGACATGAAAACAGCATGTGCGTAGCAGATCCGAGCCCCCTTGATGCGTGAAAATTTCAAACGGCCGGAAGCTGGATGTCTGTATTTGTGCTTGTCTCTCTCTTTCTTGTCAAAGCCCTTTTACACTCCACGCCCTCTGAAATGATCTTATTTGTAATCCAATCCGACGAGAGTCCGGATCACCTGTCCACGAGAATTCTATACTACCCACAATAGAGAGGACGAGATGTTTTCCATATATGGCTTCGATAAACGTGAGCAGAATTCTCGTGGAGCCGGACTCATCCGACGATCCTACTTCGAGTTTAATACTTTTGCACCATCTGATCCCACCGGCTAATATGGGCCCACTTTGACATTTCGCGCCACATTTCTGTCTACGTCTCTCAGTCTCTCTCATGCTTTATCTCTTTTGTTGCAGTTCAAACTTCTATATTTCAAAGCATTAACTTGCCCATGCATGATCTGTCTCACCCAGCTTCTCTCCTCCATCTCTGCAACAAAAAGTCAATGGAAAATATTAAAAAAGAGAAAACTAAATGAATTTTCTTTTCTCAGCGTTTAGCACCATTAATTATCACCACAGCAGTAATGATAGTTGCATAAGAAGAAAAAAAGGACTACCATGGGCTCTGCTTCTGACGATCATTCTCCAGAATCATCAACTTGCATTGATGAAGAAGGAGGCGGAGGAGGCTCCGTTCATGGAGGGAGAGGAACCTGGAAGCATGGTGCATTCCATGTTGCTACTACAATTGCTACGCCAGCGGCTTACGCTCCACTTCCATTTGCTCTCGCCTCTCTGGGTTGGCCACTCGGTAATTCGTTCTTCCCTAAAACCTCTCTGCAACGTCATATTCTTGAAACGGAAGGAACTGGCACTTCAATTTGGAAACCCAGTGTCGAAATTCTGATATTTTTACCAATTGGGTCTCCCTTTGATTACGATTTTGTGTAAAAGGGTCTTGATTTTGGTGTTCTAATTCTGAAAAAAACAAATCTCTTTTTCTTGCTTTTCCTTTGAGTTTTCTGAACTTGCTGCTTGAGTTCAGGTGTAAGCAGTTTGGTGGGTGCAACTTTGGCCACATGGTACTCAAGTCTTTTGATTGCATCCCTATGGAGATGGAACGGGGAGAAGCAAACTACATATCGGGAACTCGCAAGGAGTATCTTTGGTATGTATTCCCATTTCCCAACATTGCTGTTTCTCTCGAATTTGCAGTTTTAATTCATCCTATTCTTCAATTTAAAGTTTTTTTTTTTTGAGGAATTCTAACAAGCTGCTCAAGTCGGGTTCAGTAAATAATTTCTTAATTCATCCTATTGCTTTATTACACAATGACTTGGTTGTCATTTGCATTACAGTACAGAACTTTTATTATTAGATATAATAGGAACTTCACGTCAACCCTTAAAATTCTCAGATTGCAATAGTAAAGTTGTTCATTTACCCTCTGTTTCTTCCTTGTTTTGTTATGATCAAAATGCACAAATATGTGATCTCACTCAAATACAAAGAGAGATGGAAATGCCTAGTTTTTCATAATGATCAAAACGCTCAAATATGTAAAGTTGTTCATTTACCCTCTGTTTCTTCCTTGTTTTGTTATGATCAAAATGCTCAAATATGTGATCTCACTCAAATACAAAGAGAGATGGAAGTGCCTAGTTTTTCATAATGATGGCTCAACTGTTTAAGTTATTTCTTGATTGGATAATGGTAGTTATCTATCACACACATAGCAAAATCCATGTGGAGTAATAATCTGTTTTAGTTTAATTCAGAAACTTGTTGGTCAGATTTGCTTTTTTTTTCATTTTCCTTTCTTTTTTACAGTCAGTGTTCTTTTATCAAATTTAGCATGTTTCCTAGGGTTGACATACATGACCCATGTTGAGAAATAATTTGTGTTTGCTTATTTATTTAATTCTTTTGTGTGTGTGTGTGTTGTTTTGGTGGGCGGGGGGGCTAAGTCTTATGTGATGTTTAAAATTCCGCATACAAACTTTTCTGTTTTGATTCCTATTGGCTTGTTGACGATTAATATCTTCCAATTTTTGAAGGGCCCAAGGGTTATTGGTCTATTACATTTTTCCAACAGGTGGCTTCTCTAGGTAATAACATTGCCATCCATATTGCTGCTGGAAGTAGCCTAAAGGTTAGTTAATTTTCTGACATCTTCCTGCAGCATTTCATATCAATACATGTAGTCTTTTTCCTTTTCTTCCTTGCAGGGCTTATTTCTCTGTTTTTCAGGCAACTTACAAGTATTATCATAAGGATGGGACCTTAACCTTGCAGCAGTTCATTATTTTCTTTGGGGTCTTTGAATTACTCCTGTCACAGTTCCCAGATATTCACTCACTTCGGTGGGTGAATGCATTGTGTACTTTCTGCACAGTAGGCTTTGCTGGAACAACAATTGGTATGACTATCTATAATGGTAAGGTTATAAAACTTTGATTTTTCTATTTTTGTTATTGTTTAAGGAATAGAGTTCATCTTGAGTCAATGATTGCATCTGGTTCAAATGATCGTTTGTTTTTAGGGAAGAAGATTGATAGAAAGTCAGTTCGCTATGGATTACAGGGAAGCTCTTCGTCTAAGGCATTCAAAGCCTTCAATGCTCTTGGGGCAATTGCCTTTTCATTTGGAGATGCAATGCTTCCAGAAATACAGGTAACAAAACAAGGTTAAAATTATTTCATAGTAAAAGCTATTCCCTGATTCAAAATGGCTTAACTACACTTTCCTCAACAGAATACTGTCATGGAACCTGCAAAGAAGAATATGTATAAAAGTGTGTCTGCAGCATATTCAATCATTGTTTTGAGTTATTGGCAGATAGCCTTCAGTGGTTATTGGGCATTTGGGTCAGAGGTTCAGTCCTACATCCTCTCTTCTCTCACAATTCCAGGGTGGGCAATTTTCATGGCTAACATCTTTGCAGTGATTCAAATATCAGGATGTTTTCAGGTACTTTACCCCATAGTTCGCAAATCATTATTTACTTGTTTCTGTCTTGTCCTTTTTCCTTTATGCTTGTAATTGGTGGATATAAAAGAGAAAAGAATGTGATTTCTCAATGAAAGAACTCAGGGACTTGGACAGAATAATAAGATCTACAATTTCAGAACATTATACCAATTAGAAATGAAGCTTTTGTTAATGCTAAAGAAATAATGGGATACTGAATTTCCCTCTGTGATGTCAAGATTCTAATAGGTAGGATTGGGGGAAGAAATGGGGGAATGAATGCAAAACCCCTGACAACAAAATTAGAAATGAACTTTTCTAGATATTAAGGAAAAATATTGAATTAGGTACTCTTTTTCCATAAATAATTTCCTTTGTTATGTCAAGATTTTACTTGGTAGATAAAGCAAAGGAGAAAACATATCAGATATATATGTACAGTTGTGTAAATTCTTTATCGATTCTGAATTACATAGAATACATATCAAGAAGAGTTCATATAAGGCCATTACCCAATGTTGGTCTCAGCTATCTGGGGTCTTGAGAGGGGTAGACTGGACACAGTCCAAACCTTCGGCATTTTCTTGGGCACCAAGTGGCTGCTCCTAGATTCAAACCTGCATTCTCATGCTTCCAGCCCAAGGTTTTATCATTGCACCAAGCAGTGTTTATACATACAACAAAATGTTCCTCATAATTATTGACTTAGTTCTTAGTTACCTCTACTTATGGCTTTATAATAGAAGCTGATTACTCTATTGCTTATTTTTCTCTTTCTAGTTTCTCTTTTGAAAAACAGATAAACATCTCTTCTACCATATCAGTGTTCTTGTCCAGGCAGATGTGACACAGATATAATTTCATTATGAGGCTTTTGGCACATTATTTTATTTGAATATGTTATAACACACTAATATGCATGTGTTGTGACACTAAATATGCATCTATTAGGTCTCAACTCTACATATTAAAACTAGTAAAAATTGGAAACAGATGTATGATATCAGTTCTGCAAATTTTCACGGTAGATGCTCATTTTACAGTTGAGAGAAATTATGTTCACCAGTTAGTGGACTTTAGTTGCTAATCTGAAGCAGATATAGGTTCATCTAACTTCATCTCAAGGTGTTATCATTTTTCAAACGAGACTTTGATAAAATAAAATTTGAGATTGGCCACATTTCTGAATGCAATACTCCCATGCAGTGAAAGGGGCTCAGTTCACTATTTGAAGGGTTCTATGATTATCACCCACAATTTATCTATAAAAATAAAAGTAATGAATCCCAATGAACTGAATCTTTTATCTAATTCTATATTCTATGTTCAGATATACTGTAGGCCGACTTATGCCTATTTCGAGGAAAGAATGCCATCCAACAAAACTGACAAATGCCTAAGGATGAGAAGTTATCTGCGACGCCTCATTTTCACTTCAGTTTACATGGTCATCATAACAACTGCTGCTGCTGCCATGCCATTCTTTGGGGATTTTGTTTCTATTTGTGGAGCCATTGGTTTCACTCCTCTAGACTTTGTCTTCCCTGCTATAGCATTTCTGAAAGCTGGGAAAATGCCCAAAAACATAAAACTTCGCCGTTTAGTGCAGGTCCTTAACCTCACCATTTCTGCTTGGTTCTCTGTTGTTGCAGTATTGGGTTGCCTTGGTGCAGTAAGGTTCATCATAAAGGATATTAAGACTTACAAGTTCTTTTATGATATATAAATATCTCAAAAATATGCAGTGAAATGATGTGATTCCGCACATCATTATATTCCATTGGCTTAGATATCTCTACCTTTTTTCTATCAATGTGCCATTTGAGCTACATTGGCTTAGTGATCAAATATTGTCACAAATGTTAGGTTCGGCTTATATGGTTTATGGGGATGAGAAGGATGATCACATCGCCATTTTTTGAGTTGATTTGTACTCCTACTCAGGTTAGAAATGAGTTGGATTACAAAGAACATAGCATGGAGATCAAGGATGCTAACATATACAAGGTTCTTCACAGGTATGTAATTTACATAGTATGGTGATTCTTAAATGCAATTTAATGCATGTATGGAGCCCTGTCATTTGCTTTCTCCCTAAATGGGGTCATGGTTCATTGATCCTATCTAATGCATCAGAATGTCAGGGATGAAAATGGTATCCATTTATCCAAAATGGGGTCATAGTTCTTTCTTCACAGGTATGTGATATCGATCTGTTTACCCATTAGACGATTACCCAATGTAGGTCCTAGCTAAGTGGGGTCTGTGGGAGGGGTAGACCGGGTATGATCATAACATTTAGTATTTTTCACACAAAGTGGTCGCCCTGAGACTCGAACTTATACTTGTCAGCCAGAGATTTTACCATTACACCAAGCAGTGGCCCCAGCAATGGCTCCAATCTGATCCATTACAGTCCAATCCATTTTACTGTATTTAAGTAAATGTGGTTATATGTACATAAAATGTATCTGTGAGTGAAGTTGGTTTGAATGTTGTATATTTACTCAAGAGTTATACATTCAAGTCTGCAGAAATTATTTCCAAGTCATTTATTTATTATAAAAATATTGGTCATTTTTAGTTCATTCTACTGATAAGTATATAATATTGTGATATAGTTTGTTTGATTCATAAATGGAATTCAACGTCCAAAATTCAATCTATCTAAATCTGAACCCCATGGATAACATTCAATTTGTTTAGCCCTGCCTCTGCCCCTTAATAAACTCAAGTGCCAAACCTCCTATATTAGCAACGTTAAAACTTTGATGGTGTTTGGTATCGACACTCCTCAAGGTGAAGTGTTTAAAACTACACTGGAATCTGGATTTGGGAATGGCGAAAGAGACATTTTGGCATGGATATTTTTATACTGTTTCAAGTATATATAGCATAATAGCACCAACACGAAAAATGGAGACCGGATCTGCTTCTCATTACAGATACATACATATGTATTATATATTTTTTCCTCATTACATGTATATATATATATATATATATATATATATATTGATAAATCGATTTAATATAGTTTACCATTTGGTCTGATTTCTAAAATTTAGAAAACCAAATCAGAAAATTATGATTTGAGGAATTTTCAAACCAAACCAAACCATTTTAAGCCTTAACCATACCAAACCTCCCATTTCGATTTGGCTCGTTGTGGTTTGGAGGTCTAGACCATATAATGAACACCCTTAGCCAAGAATACTCCACACCAACCTCACAGCCGTGCATCGAGAATATCACTTATAGGTGGCATTCGGAAGTGTGTAAATATAGTGGACGGGACCGTTTTAGTCCTGTCCACGGTAAGATATGGTGTTTTGCTATGTGTGGATGGTCCTCGTACACAAAAGCGTGGACAGGGACGGATCACACCCCAATTTATCGTCCACATTATTTTCTCATGGATGGTCCACACTATGGTATGGATGGTTTGTAAAAAGGTTTTAATGTAACGCACCTGGGTTACATTGGTCCAATTACTTGCATTTAATTTAATTTTTTAATAATTTTTAAATTTTAATATTTTATCAATAAAATAATAAATTTTAATGTTAATTCTAGCACAAGTCCGACAGTTCTCCTTCTTAACTCTTTTTCATTATTTAAATATTAATTTTTTAATATTTTTATCAATAAAATAATATTTAAAATATTAAATTTTTATTTTTTTAATATTTAAAATAATATTTTTTAATTATTTAAAAATGCAATTATTGTCTACATATTGACACATTTTTTTTTTCAATTTATTTACCATATAAAATGCAAATATTAGACATTTATGATTGATTGTGTAGATTTCCCATAAAATGTATATGAGATACATGAAATCCAAAAGTGTGGTGTGAACTTGTCCACACCACACCTATAGAACGCCACCGAGTGTATGGACTGGTCTGGTTCACACAATCTATCTATAGTTCAGAACAATTGTGGACTGTAGTGTGGTGTGGATTGATCCCTACCACATAGGGGTGTCAACGATATTTAAAATTCTAATTATGAATTCGAGATTCGACATAATTGAATTGAATTCGGATAATTCGAATATCTAATCGGTCGAATTTGGATATCATATTCATACCGAAAAGTTAATCGGATTCGAATTTGGATGTGACCTGATTCGATTCGATAAATGTCTGAATTCGACTAGTTATTTTATTCTTATATATAATATATAAATTTTTTAAACGTTCTATATAATTTGTATATATAATAATTAAGTTATATAAATAATTTATATATTTATATGCTTTATATAGATAAAATATTTATTTTATATATTTATTAGTTACCTAAAATAATTAATTAGTTGAATTCGAATCGAATTGAATATTTAATTGGATTCGAATTCAAATATTAATTTTCAATATTTGTCGGATATCGAATCAAATTCGGATATTGGACTTTTAAATCATATTCGAATTCAGATATTGCTTGATCTGATTTGAATTCGACTTGTTTACACCCCTACTACTGCAAGGTATGGTATGGACCAGTCCACACCCACTAATTTCTCATCCACACTATAAAAAAACCCTCATAATTTACAACATTTGAGTAAAATTCACATCTGCGACGCAAGAAAGGGCGCCTTATAAATGCCCTATAGCATATCCCAACCGTGTATTGGGAACATGTCCCAATTACAATTACGGGAGATGTTCCAAATGCACGAGATGTACTATGTGGGGCATTTTGGGTGGGGCGCCCCCTCTCTAGTACAGGATGCAAGGTGCTATGTAGTTGCCTAGTATATGTTTGGCATCGATGCTGCAAATGTAGCACAATTTTCTAAGAAAATGGTGCTGCTGATGTGTGGGTTGGAACCGTAGTTGCCAAGTAGGATATTTCCTGGAGCAACAACTTTTTCTGTTTGGTACCAATGCTCCAGGAAAGTTTTCAGCATTGGTACCCATTATTCAGTGCCATATCACTACCCTGTTGGTAACAACGAGCTGTAGTTCTAAGAAATGCCCTCTAAGCCTTGCCTTCCCGATTTTCGAGGCATGGCTTAAAGCACTATTTTGTGTGGAAAAACGGTTCCAAGCAAATATCCGTTTCCTGGAGCACATTTTTTTTCAATGTGACGCTGATATAGTGCCGCTTTCTAGAGCAACGGCAACGATGCCAAACAGACGCCTAGTTGGTTTGAGACGCACTAATTCGGATTCGGATTCGTGTTGAGCAAATCCGAATTCGAACCATTCGTATTTCGTAATAGGTGGGACCCACTTTACTTGTTCCAACTTCCAATTAAAAACATGTATTTTTATTCCGATGCTTCCACCGTTACATGTTCCAACTTCCAATCAAGGAAACCAGCATTAGTACCGCCAGGTACATGAGTTCCATGCCGCAGTTCATTTTGGTTCCGATTTTCTTTACCTTGTGGACTCTGTGTTTCTGTGCTGCGAGATTTGATGTTTCTAATACTATCTTTGTTTCATATAATTTGATTATTTCACTTCATTTTGTTCTTCTCTGTTTTCCTTTCTTCTTTCTGTTGTAAAGGGTTTATTATTTTTCTTTTTTCTCATTTCATTTTAAGGGGCTTGGGTTTTCTTTGTGTGCTTTATTCCTTCTTCGTTTCATTCGCTGAGGGGTTTATTCGGTAGTGGGGCTATGGTATAGGGTTCTAGGCATTGTCCTTAGCTGCTATATGCACGAGATTTTGGCCCTTAGTTCAGTGACAGGAAATGGCCTGTTGAATGCTACTAGGCTGCAGGTGAGCAAGACTATGAACAGTGGAAATGATTGTATGCAGAGGGATTTTATGGGATGGTTTAACTAAAGAAAAAGGTAAAATAGAGCAAAGTGTAAGAGCAGTTTACTTCTAGGGAGATGAACCTCCTAAGCTTGCCTCCGAAGGGGGAAAATCCTCCACCAGAGCAGCTGCTGCTAAAACATAAATCTTCTCTTCTTCTCTGCAGCCATACAGTATCTAGATTTTGTAGGGCTGTTAGCATCTGAAAAAGGGCATTACCCCATATTGGTCCTGCTATCTGGGGTCTTGGGAGGGGTGGGCTAGATGGGATCTAACATTTGACATTTTCTTGCACTAAGTGGCTGTTCTCACCTCTCAGACTTGAAGCCGTGTGCTCACGGTTGTGAGCCTGAGATTTTACTATTGCACCAAGTAATAGGCAATAGCCCCTTGCTAGCATTTATGCATGTAAACTAACAAATAATTCACCAAATTTGCTGCTCCTAAATCTACCATAATATTGAATAACTAATATTATAATTGACTAAAACATGGCTACTGAAGTAGATGGATACATTGGAATGAATCAAGATGGGTGGGTAATTGGCTAATTGCCTCGTACTAATTGCAAGTGCTGCAATGGAAGTATTTGTTCATGTGATGTTGAAAACTTTCCGTGCTTCTAGATGAAAGTTTGAGATATTGTATAGTTCTTTTTCAGAGTTCCACACTTCCACTTGGTCTTGCCACGGAGTGAATGAATCCTGGATGTTGCTGTTGTGATGGAATTCTATCATTTAAAGTGTTGCCAGTCCTTATCATGGTAATTTCAGTGGTCAAGCAAAAGAATGGCCAATTTCATTAACATTGTTTTTAACTACATTGAATGATTAACGTTCTTTGTTCAGATATGAACAGAGAAGAATCTGTACTAGTTTGGTATAAGTGAGGGACTTATGATTCTTTCATGCTTGTGTGGAAGGTTTAGGATTATATTGATTATTTTTCTGGCTTCCTGATTTCCCTTAGGTCTCTGGATGCAGCTATATCTTTTAGGATTTTTATCTGATCGAAGCTTTCTTGTGCAGTTTGAAGATTTATTCATTTTTATTACTAGTTATTCATCTCTTATTTTGTTTTTCTTATACCTTTCTAGGATTTTAGGGATTATTGGGTATTTGGGTTTCAGTGGCAGTTTTACATTTGGTTAGAGATTTGTTGTTACAATTTGTGTGAATGAAGAGAGATTATATTTCTGACAAAGATGATTGCCTTGTTCTAGATAACATTTTGGATGGTACAAAAATAGGCCTTGGTGAGTTAATATTGATTACAATCTAGCTTTTATATTGAAACCGTTGGTGGTTCAGAAGACAAAAGAAAAGATAACCTCAGAAAAGGAAGAAAAGAAAACAAAGAAGAGAAACTTTTTTTTTCCCTGACAACCATTTGGTTGTCCAGAAAGAGGAAAGAAAATATTTGGATTTATTGCAAGAAATTCTGGGACCAATGAGCTTTTTACAACCAGAAGGATTTATTAACTAAACAATCTGGTTAACAGAGCTAATCCCTATGTATACTTCCATTTCTTCTTGCCAATCATCCCTTGGGGTATGTTGAATTGCCAATGGAAATGTTGGAAAATAGGAATTGTACTAGAATAAGGAATTTTCTAGTATTTGGTCAATGTGATATTGCATAGTCACATTGAAGATCTGAAATTTCTCCAAAATTGTGTTACGTGGGTGAGGAAGTAAAATCCTGAAGGATGATGTGATTAGCAAGCTCTACCTTATCTATTTTCACCATGCTCTTTAGGCTGTATTTGGTTTGTACAGGTTTCTCCTCCTTTCCTACCTTTTCATTCAAACCAAGCACAGCATTATTGTCTGAGGTGCCCTCAGGAACTCTATGGTAGCATTGCTGCCACTTTTGTGAAACAACAATTCCAGGTAAAATTTGTTTTTGATAAATAATAATTCCAGGTAAGATTAACATTGATCTATCTACTTTCTTCTGTCACACCCTCTATTTTAAGTTATTTTCCTTGAAATAATGAGATGCAATATATGTATCCAAAGTGGGTTTCAATGGATGAATGATGCTTTACAGACATCTTCAGGTTACTGGTATCACTAGGTTGGTCCTTGGAGGCTAAGCTTGCTATATGTGTTAGAGTTACACCCTAAGAACATGGCTCTGGGCTTAGACCTGTCACAAGGAAAGTCTATCAAGTGATTAAAATGGCAAATATTCAGTTATCTGAGCATGTGGCTGCCTAAACGCCATGTAAATGCCATCTTCCTGTCCTTTTCACTCTTTGTTGGCTCACATAGATGTAGGACCAAGTGAATCATTGGCTTTTAATCCATATCTTTACTTTGTTATAGTCCTTAATTGTGAGTATTCAGTTTGTATGAGAAAAGGGTATTTTTTTATCAGCAACACAGAAAAGATTTCATTAATTAGAAAAAATCATGGATACAACAAGAAGTTGTGAAAGAAACCAGCTTTAGTATCTGAACCAAAACAAATTTACAATTGAGCCCAAAACATGTGTTCTTTGTACCCCTTGCTTAGCTAAGCTATCTTCCAAGCTGTTGGCAGATCTGAGATCTCCTCACCCATCTTACACGGTTTGACATGTCCCTTGACAGCCATTTAAATCTCCTGAATTCATTCCTCAACTGCCATGTCACCCTTTCACCCTTCTGCAACCATTTTATCACAGTTTTCGAGTCTCCTTCAATGATCAGTCTATTAATACCCAACTCTTTAGCCTTCTCAACCCCACATGGTGCAGCTAGAAACTCTGACCTTTCCACATCACCCTGTTCCACAGGACCAGATTACAGAGCAATGATGTTTCCATTATCATCTCTAATGGCCTCCCCACCAATGCCTAAGGGGCCCGGATTACCCACACAACACCCATCAAAGTTCAGCTTCTTCCAGCCCTCTATTGGGGGAGACCATACCTCAACAAATTGCTGTCTTGTAGATGAAGAGGCTGCAATAACACCCCAAACCCTGAAAAAGTCTTCCACCTTAAAATCTGAGAACAGCTTCAAGCTTTTTGCCCAATGTGCCACCCGCAAACAGTCCAATGTAGTGCTGCTCTAATACATCTCCACAGGATCCTACCCCTCCTTTTAGTGCAACTAATACCATTAGGGCTGAACAAACCATCCAATCTGTCAGGATAAGACCACCTGCAACCAAAGAGGGAAGAAAATATTTGGACAGGGATTTGAATGTAATATCAGTCCTTGTAATTTTGAATATTTTTAACATTATATAAAGAGTCTCTTTCTAATAATTTTAACATTAAATAAAAGAGTCTCTTTTATTCTTTCTTCTTCTTTTTCATTATGCAGAACAAGATGGTATTAGAGCAACAAGAAGAAGACTGATGATGAAGAAAATGTTGATAGTGATCAGATCCATTAACCACTTCAGATCTGTTAGTCAAATTCTTTTTGTCTTAAAAAACTATTCTTTCTTCTGCTATAGCTCATTATTCATTGTTCTTGTTGTCTTTCATTCATTGTTTGGAATTTTAGGGTTTCTGTCAACAGTCCCATATCCCTAATCTTAATCTTAGCTTCCCCTTACGATACTTGTTTTCAGATATCTTACTCTAAATAGTAATTATGGAATTAAAATAAATAGCAAGTCTGAACTTTATTTTTAATAGTAATTTAGTTGTACTGAAAATAGTATTTACGTGCTTTTCGCCATCTCATTCTTGAATTGCCTGGTTTTGTTAAATATTTTTGGAGAATTTTCAAGTAATTTTTTATGCCTAGAAAAATTTTATAGAGAGTAGAGATTCTTCCTGGAAATTAAGAAAAATTGGAGATTTCAATGTTAGTTGTGGTCACTGGTAGAGTGTTCATCATTATCTATGTTAAATTGGTAGTATACTTTTATGACTGGGAATGTGCCAAGAGTTGGAATTGATGATTGGACATGTCTTGAGTAAACGTTGTGGGCTTCCATGAGTACAGTGTTGGTTGTTTCTTGGGTAAGATCTGTGAGCCACCATGAGTTCCATCTAACCAATTGAAAGACTTATCCTACCATGAGTTAGAGTCAAAAGTGCCTTTGTGAGTGCAATCAAGCTAATTGGATCCCTGTGGATGTGGTGTAAGAGCTAATTGCTGCCATGCTGGAATTATGAAGTTGTTTGTTCAAGAGAAACTCTGGAATATTGCTACTAAGGTTACATTATTTCTTTCTAGGCAAGTTAGCTGGTTCTGGCTTGAGGGAGAGTGTTGGAGATTAACTTTATATGGAGAAGGTTATTTTAGGAAGAAAATATATGGTACAGGACATTAATGTAATATCATTGTTGGGGATTTTCTTGTAATTTTGGATAATTTGAATATTATATAAAGAGATTGGCATGCTTTATTGTTAGACTCAATTGTTTGTCTTCTCTTCTACCTATTTAGGAATTATATGTTGTGGTTGCTGTATTATGAATTTTTGTGTAAACTGAGTTACTGAGAACCATTTGAATGATTCAATGGTTCATGGTTCTTGGTGGAAATGCAATTCATTTTAGGGATTCACCTAACGAGCTGTTCAACCTAGCAGGCTTGCTTTGGCTTCTCTAATTTGATGTCTAAGCATTCAAGGAATTTTTCTGTTGACTGTGTTTCCATCGAGTCACCATAGAATAGTTGCCTTTTAAAATCCTAAACCCCTCCAATTTCATCCCATAAAGAAAGAGAAAGTAACTCAGCTCAAAGTGAATTTCTTATCCCCATTTTCCACGAATAGGTGACACATTGTCCAAAACATCTCTAAGCACACCTCCCTCCAAATGGGTTTAGGTTCCTAATGGAGCACCCATTAAATTCATCTCTAATCTTCCTTGGTCTGGTGGTACCTATGTTTGATTTGCATGCCATTGTTTGTGTCTTAAATTACCACCACCATCTGACACTCTTTTAAACTCTTTTGCTTATGTGCAAATCTCATGGCCAAAAGATCAATCAAGATACTAACATTAATTCTCCCATTATAAAAGTTGAAGGGTTCCTTTTATTCCATAGTCCATACACTCCAAAGGACATCAACTGTGTCACCACTTTGCTCCTGCATCACAACTTCGGTTCCTTTTTGATATACTTGTTCATATGGGACTAAATTTGATTGCTAATGGTTTAGCTAGGTTTGTTATGGAAAGGGTACATTTTGTACAGTGAAAGCCTTATACCTGTATAATTTAGTTTTATTTATTTATTTTGAGAATGAAGCTGCCATCGTAGATTAATGCAATATGATGGTTACCTTATTTAGGAAAAAGAGTATCAAACTGATTTTATGTTATTTTGATGCAACTTGATGGCCATTTTATGGAAAATTTGGGACAGTTCTATATCCATTATATTTTATTTTGTGTTGCAGGTTGTGAGATGTATCTTAAGGCACAGCTCTCCTGGAATGTGTTAATACCTCCTGAAAATTTGGATCACGAAGGCCTGATGCTACAAAGGTCCATCATATTAGGCTTGTTGGAAGAATTTGCTAATAAGAAAGCCACCAAAGATCATGGTTACTTCATTGCAGTAACTACCCTGGTCAGTATAGGCAAAGGGAAGGTTAGACAAGAATCGGGGAATGTGCTTTTCCCTGTAGTGTTCAGTTGCATCACCTTCAAGCCTTTCAAGGGAGAGGTTTTGCAGGGTGTTGTTGATAGAGTTCTGAAGCAAGGTGTTTTTCTGAAATGTGGACCCATTGGAAAAGTATTCCTCTCTGAACATAAATTGCCGGATTACCACTACGTCCCTGGAGAAAATCCGGTTTTTTTGAATGACAAGCATTCTAAGATAGAGAAGAGCTCAGTGGTCCGCTTCATGGTTCTTGGGACAAGATGGGCTGAGACAGATAGGGAGTTTGAAATGGTTGGTACCTTGGAAGGTGATTTCCTTGGACCCATTTAGTAACTACACTATGTTCTGTGGTTGTATATGTTTCTTTCTTTTTTGATAAATGTTGGGTGGTTGTATATGTTGGCTCAGAGTTTTGTATCCATGGTAACTTAGTTGTGGGTGGTGGGAAGTTGATAATGTTGTTCTTTGGTATACGATCGAGCCTAGAATTTCCTATATATCCCTCACTATGCAATGTATGTAAAACTATGTAATGTTTCAGTTCAATCAAATTATGTTAGTTTTTAATTTCTTGTTGTGGTCAGATTGCAATTTTCACTCTTCTTCTAGTTTAGTTCTGCTATGATTAATTGTTTGCAAGACGAACTCAGATTATCTGTGGGTTCCATTTATATGGAATGATTGGCAGAACGGCATCTGGCACCATTCCAAATTGATCCCTTATAAGGCATGGCCCATTCATTTTGATTTTTAATTTCATTTTAGCCCATGATTTTACAGAACCACTACAGTTGTGTTAAAGTAAAATGTGGGCACTTCTGCAGTCCATTGAACTTGTATTTTTTTCTTTTTTGAGACATTTCAGCAATGACTCCTGTGAATGATGATTCCATTCCACATCATGAATTTTTGACTATCAATTCCATGAAAGTAAAGCGTAGTTTTGTTTCTTCTGACTTTAACATCTACATCCTAATCCTATGGCCTTGGCTAAAAAAATAAAAAGGCTATTAGAAATTTTGACACTTTCGTTTTACACAAAGTAGCCTCTCTTGGACTCAAAACCACATTCTCACTCATGTCAGACTAAACTTTTACCATCACAACAATCAATGGCCCTTGTCCTGTGGTCTTCAGTCATCATTGCCATCATCTAAGCCTTATCCCATTTATATCAGCTACATGAATATCGCTTTGTCATTCCATTATGTTTAGTGACATCTATTTTTAAAAGTGTGAATGAGGTCTAAATTTTGGAAATTTTCTTGATTAAAATGCCTTTTTGTTGAATTAGGTCCCTCTTTATTATAAGGGCAAAAAATCTAATTTGAATTATTACTTATATTAAACTCATTACATTCCTTGTTATTAAATCCTATATTAACTCCCACTCTCTCTAGACCCCTATTTTTGAATTTGGTCATTATTTATTATAATGGCAGAAAACTTAATTTCAACTAGTCTTATTAAATTCATTATAATCACTTTCATTAAGGCCTATGTTTAAGATATTAATTCCCATTCCCTCTTATTAAATCATGTATTTAATGTACACTAAATGAATGAACTTTGTGGACTTTCTTGACTAAAAAACCCCTACTTATGAATTTGGTCCTTTTATAGCTGTGGGTAGAAATTATAATTTAAATTATTATTATTTTTCACCTTATTCAATTCCCTATCATTAAGGTGTTAATTTTCATTCTCTCTCAAATACTCAATGTGAAATGTTTTTGTTTTTCACTAATAAATTCTAATAATTAAATCTATATCCAATACTTTTAAGCATAAATTTCTTAAATTACCCTTATGGTTTAGTTAATATACCCTTACTATTTGACTATTGTCTAACGCTATCCCTACTGTTTCTAACAATTACTATTGCCATTAAATAATGACCGAAGGGCTGAAATGTCTGTTTTACCCTTAAGTCAAATTTATGTGCAAAAATTAAAATTACTTATTTGACCTTCTTTTTAACACATATGTGCGGGTTAATTCAGACGAACAAAGTGCTTGAAAGCAGCAAGGGAGCACCATTGCCATCGCCTGTGAGTGACAGTTGTCGCTACAATTTCCAAACCAAAGGAAGATCGGAAAAAAAAAACATTTTCCCCTCTCCACCAAGAACTTACACGTCTCCTCTGCTTGGAAAATGGGATGGTTATTGCCCTTCATATCGAAGAGCATCGCCGTGAATATTCCTCCAAGCCTATTCCAGTGGCAACGTCAAAATAATCAGCGATTCTTGCGTCTAGATTTCCAGATTTGGTCTTGAGAGCTTGTTCTAGGTAAGACAAGGCTTTTCCTGAGAAGATCTCTCATCAATGCTAAGAATGCAGACCTTGCCTCTTTGATTCTTGATTGCCCCAACACCATTGTCTTTAATTTCATCGAAAATCTTCTTTTCCCATTCCTCACCTTGTCGGATTGTACTTCATCTTCTGATGAGCACAAAGTGGTCTAGGCGGCCTCGATGGTCCGATGGACTTCAATAGGTCAAAATCCAAATTCTATGAGGTCTCGAAGACTAGGGTGACTATTGTTGATGTCGCCGTTGGTGCATCGAGAGTTTGGGACTCTCTCTCTCTCTCCTCCGACACCCATGCAGGCTGGCTTTGCACTAGTCCACCTAGTCCTGACCGAACACTACAATATTGACATCACCACCCACGCCGTACAATTGCAACTGGGAGGCATAGTGTAGGCTTTGATATCATTTGTTATGTGTCTTAGGGGAACTCATCCCTAAAAGCTAGCTATTAGAGGGAGGGAACCCAAACACATATATACCCTACAATAGCATCCCATACTACCAATTTGGGATACCTCACATTAACATCCTATAGGACAAATGGATTGTAACATGTTGGGTAATTGTCGAATTCTATTCTACATGCAAGAGGGATGTGTCGATGCATTTTAAGTTCAAGGAGGAGCCGATGTTCATAAAGGGAAGATACTTCGGGGGAGCCGGTGAGGTTGTAAGCTTGCACGAACAAGGTAAGCTTCAACTGCTCCAAGGGGGTCCCAATTGATCATTCCGATGGCCCCTGCGAGGGTTGCGTTGGGATACGCTTTGTGCTGTGTTTCAATTGCAGAGTGAATCCTGGAACTAATGGGTTGCCCACCCGATGCACAGAATGCAATGGCCAATGGGAATGGATTGATTACCTGCCCTCTATGCTGATAAAGAACCCATTTGGGTTCTGTTGGAGATCTCTAATTTTTTTTTTTTTTCAGATCATATTGGTTTTCTTATTACAGATTATTTTGATTTTGTGGTGCCTTTGAGTGGAAATTAACATAAGATCAATGCCGTTCTAACTTCTTTGTATCAATTTGTGTATATGGGAAGATTATTTTGGATCAGCATTGGACCTAAAAGAACTTTCAATAGAATAAGGATTGCTTTTGTGGCAGGTAATTTTCAGAAAGTTGGATGTGAGTAAGATTGAACAAGTAAAACAAATGGTTTAATGTCAAAAGGGAATAACTTGGTAAAGACAAGTTTTAAAATGATATTAAGGGTAAAATGGTTCGAAAAATTGCCCAAAAGGTGGTTTGGGCATTTATAAATATTGTAACATCAAAATGCCAACTTTTTTCAACAAGAATTGACGGAACACTAGTTGAGGGGGTCTTTGTCGCAAAAAAAAAAATAGTATAGGGGGTCTTTGTCACTGACCCTATAATAGGGGGGGTCCTTTTAATTTACCCTAGGTTTTAACTCGAACCACCCTTAGGTGTCGCTTGTTTTACAATAAAAGTAGGGTTTAAAGTTTTTTTAGGCTCTGTTTGATTTGTAGGAAGATTTGGGTGGGATGGGAAAAGATGGGATGGGATGGGAAAGTATAAAAATTTAACTTTTCAGTGTTTGGTTTTATTGGGATGGGATGGGATGGGAAAGTGTAAAAGATGGCACTGTTCACCTTCTTCATTCGTTCAAGACGAACAGAGGGACAACTACCCCTTCAGATAAAAGACACCACCATATCGAAAAACCCCTTCAGGAACTTCCGTTCGTCCTTCCTTAGTAACTTCACGAATAGAGGCATAGCTTCAGGAACTTCACAAACAGAGGCACAACTGTCCGTGGGTGTTTCAGTAGAATATGTGACTGTTTCAGTAGAATGGGAAATAGAATATATTCGATTATGGCTATTTCAACCGACATCTCTTCGATTAAAATGCAATGATCCTATATCTTTTCTTTTGCTAATATTGTAACTCCTGCTTTATGAGAAATTTATGTTCTTTGCATCGTTTTAACCGATGTTAATTTTGGGAATCAATCAACTTTTAAGCAGAGTATCTAGGTTTCTTTCATATTAAAACCCTGAATAAAGGGAAGAAAAGGAAAATAGTCTACTAGTTTAGAAGAGATGACTTTGGGTGACATTGGGCTACGAAATTGAGGTCTGTACATTTCTGGGTAGGCTTTTCCTTTTCTTTTTCCCTTTAAATTTAGAACCTATTGATGAATTAGAGTCGGAGTCTTGGCACGACGATGAAGATGACTCCCCAGTTCGCCCTTCCTCAAAACATGCGCACTCTCGCCAGCTTCCGACCCCCTCCATCCGAGCCAAAACCTCCCGTTGAGCCTGTCATAGTCTGAAGAGGAAGAAGAGAGAAGATGAAGGGAGAGAAGATGAGGGAGAAGAGAGAAGAGGAAGACAGAGTCACACTAAAAAAGGAAGAAAGGGACAGAGACAAGGGGCAGAGAGAAGAGGAAGACGAACCCAAGGGACAGAGATAGGGGACTACTGTCTGTTCGTCGTCTTTGAGAAAGGGAGAAGACTAGAGCATTATTTCTCTCCTTCCTCTTCGTCATCGTTGGTTTGCTTTTCTTGGCCTTCCCTCCTCTGCTCATCGTGATGGTAAGTGGTAACAATGATTTCCTAGTTTTTCCATTAGGGTCGCATTGTTTTGGTGCGACCCCGATTCCATGATTTTGGGATCTGCCATCCCACATCTTTCCCTTCCCATTCCTCTTTTTCCCTCAAACCAAATAAGAGAAAAGAGAATATTTTTGGAATATTCCCTTTTTCTCATCCCCATCCCTTAAACCAAGTAGGTGAGTCTCACATAAATGCAATAATATGGTGTACCATTGCCGCTACAATGGGTGAGGGTAATTTTTTTGGGGGAAATTTCCGATTAGTACTATGTACTTTGTGCCTAGTGCCACTTTGGTCCCTGAATTTTAAAATGCGACAATTCAGTACCCAAACTTTCAAAACGTGACAATCTAGTACCTGCCATTAAACCTGTTCATGGGCCGGGTAACCTGACGGGTTGGCTCGACCCAACCCATTATTAAGTCGGGCTTGGTCATAATTTTAGGCCCGCAGGCTCGAACTCGGGCCTAAAGCACCAAGCTTGACTTTTTACGGGCCGGGCTTAAGCTTTCTTAAAAAAGCCCAGCCCGAGCCCGAGCCCAACTTGATACGATATATTAAATAATAAAAATATATTTTATTTAATAAAAAATATATATACAATATTTTTTCTTTGTTCTTTTCTTTTTTCCAAGTAATAGTGAGATGTTTATTATTTTTGAATTTTGAAGGTTTTTAATATAAATAAAACACTTTTTATTGAATAAAAAAAGAAAAAAAATTCAGTTTTCAAATTTATGGCTAGGCTTGGGCTCAAGACTTAGGCCCGATGGTTGGGCCTGGCTTAGGCTCGAGCCTGAGTGTATTCTGTTGATAGTTGATACATATACAAAGCTTGGCTCGAACCTAGCCTGGCTCGACCCATGAACAGGTCTACCTTAGGGGTGACCATGGGCCGAGCCGGGCCGGGCTGGGTCGGGCTTTGCACTTATGTTAAGGGCTATAGCTTAGGCCCAGGGTTCCGAGCATGTAACATAAGCCCTAGCCCATGTCTACATGGGCCCGAGCTAGGTCGGGCTTGATTCTGGGCCAATGTCTTTCATATATAAAACATTGCATATCTATAATATTTTATATTAAATGACATAACATGCATATAAAGTTTTATTTTATATATTATATAATATAAAATATTACATATAATATATGTATACATTATACACAAAACGTGTAAGTTTAAATATATGGGGGCTGAGCTTGAATTATTAAGCCCAAGCCCAGCCCTAAAATTTGCGGGTTTGATGTGGGCCTGCGCCCGGGCCGGACCTAAACACAAACCCAAGCCCAAGCCCAGAATTTCCGGGCCGGGCTGAAATGATCACCCCTAGTCTACCCGCCATTAATCAACAATTAACTTGCCGTTAAGTGACATTTGAAAAGAACACAAATGCCCTTCAAGTGTCATTTAATTTTCTTTATCAGCCATCTAAACATTGACAAAAAATTAGGAGTCCCAAATCCTTGATTCTTCCATTCAAGAAAGTTAGGGATACGTTTGAATGGATATTCTCATGATCCCAACTTTCTTGAATAGAAAAGGCAAGAATTTGGGATTATTAATTTTTTGTCAATGTTTGGATGATTGATAAAGAAAATTAGATGACATTTAAAGGGCATTTGTGTCTTTTTAAAATATCACTTAATAACTGATTAATAGCTAATTAACGGTAGGTACTAAATTATCACATTTTAAAAGATCAAATATTAATCTTTCATTTTTTTTAGAGAATAACTGTTCAACCCACCATAAAATTCTTAACCCCAAAATACAGTGGGATATGGGAGGCTGTAATTTGAGAATTCTGCTGTATGCTACAGTAGTACAGTGTTTTTTCTTATGTGAGAGCATTGCCGTAACCAGGAATGACGGGTAATGTGCCTGATTGGCGGGTAATGTGGAATTCGGATTTATACGTTTGTAGGCTTAAAAATGTTACTTTTAAAGTGCGTCAGTGCCCCCCCGGCTGCCCATGTCAATAATTTTCCTCCTTTTATATTTCACGAGAAAATATTTTCACAAGCAACTTCTCTGCGGTCGTAGTATAAGAAGTGTGCGAAAGCTTACTCCCAGCAATCTGTTTCCTGCCGAGGTGAGTTGTGGATCTCTCTTGGCTCTATTTCTCCACTATTTTCGATTATTGTTTGTTGGCTCATTACCATTTTCAATCCAAGAAAGAGAAATGCGGACATATAACACACTAACACAGAACTGATAGAAGCCCTAGAGAGAAGATTTTGGATAACAAAATAGTGAATGAAGACGAATGGGGGGGGGCATTTCACGGGCAATTTCTCCCAGAAGCAGTATCCTTGGGAAACTGACTCGGATTTGAGCCATATATAATGGCTTTGTTCACAGAAAAAACCCTCTTCGCTCCCCTGAAACTTGGAAAAGTTTTGATCCTTTCGGTTATTTCTTTCTCGAAAACGAGAAGCATTTGGTTTCCCCAGTTTCTGAGTAACGGTGGGAGTGTGTTATCACCTTTGTTCCAAGGATACATTGGTTAGCGAGAGTGGCTTAGTGGAATGTAGATTGGTCTTGGATGCTAATGTGGTGATTGTTGTTCTGAGAGTTCTGAAAATGGGTATGCAGTGCTTGTTCTGATTGGTGAAATATAGCATCGTTCAACGTATGGATACCAGGGCCTTTGAAAATCTAGGTTTTAGTTGTAAACTCCTTATATCCGTTGCATCACTGTCTAACAGCAGTTACAGGGTATTATTATACCTCCAATTATTAGATTGCATGTTGAACTGAACATTGAACAAGGGACTGATAGTGTTATTTCAGACGGATTGCTGGTGTAAATAGGGGCATTTGCAAATGACTTGAATCAATGGAATGATTTCATTTCCGTAATTGGAGTTAAGCCATGACATCGAATTTTACTAAAACAGTTTAATTTATTTATAAGGTTTCGGTTTCAAGGAAGGAATTTAATCTTGTTTTTAGTCTCCTGAGATAACTTATTACCAAACACCCCTTAAAATGAAACATGTAATTCAAATGTTTATTTTTTATTTTTACTTTTTTTTTTGTTACTCTGGCCATTAGAATTGACAAGACTGGTTTTGCAAGACTAAAAGGTGACAATTAAAACTGAACTCACTTTGGATTACCTGCCATGAATTGTTACTAACTGTTAAAGCAGACTAATCTATCCACCCATTTCTGAGCAACCGGTGTACCTTCTTCTCTTGAATAATTTTGCTTCTTTTAGTTATTGCTTGTCATTTTTTTTTTATGAATGAAGATAATTTTATTAATCCAGAAATTAAGGCAATACAGGAAATCCATGAAGAGGCACGAGCTGTTACCTCTTCTAAACAGAGTATTACATCAAGTTAAAAACAGGAATAAAAAGAAATAAAATTACAGAGCAGCCCAAAATAAATGTTCCCTTGAAGCCCCTTGCTTAGCTAACCCATCCACTAAGGTATTTGCTGATCTTCTCACCCAAAGAGAGGTAAGTCATGATTCTTGTGAGCCAGTTGGCTTTCCTCAATAAGTCTCTGTGTCGCCACATAGCTGAAGCTGGATCTTTCAGCCAGTTATTGCTTGTCATTTCTCTGTCAGGTTCTGCAGATAGAACCGAAATGCCTTTTCAGGTATATAATTTCAAGATTCTTGATATAATTCAGGTCTGCCTTAGAGTTCGGCCTGACTGAGTTCAGTTATGTAGAAGAAGAAAGAGTGATAAAGAAAGAGAGAAAGAGAGAAAGAGAGAAAGAGAGAAAGAGAGAAAGAGAGAAAGAGAGAAAGAGAGAAGAGAGAATTCTGGTTCGAACTGAAAGAGTCAACTTGACTTCTCCCAGTCGGCCAGTAAGTATTTATACTATTATTAAAACATAACTAAAAAGACCTATGTGCCCTTACTTAAG